AAGAAGTGGTCAAGGAAGGTCACAAGGATCAAAGCCTCGGCGATGTAGTATTTGCGGAAAGACCGGGCATACTGCAAGGACCTGTCAAGAGTCAATTGAGGTTAATAGGGAATAGTCTAGCGATTAATTTTAATTGATCAGATATGTTGTGGTGTTTTATTTCTCTTTCTGAGTCTTCACGTGTAGATTGGTGGAGCACTCGCTTGTCTGGAGCACTCGCTTATCATGCACGTTAAGCAAGTGATTTCTAAGTATACTTACAATCCTCTTTATGCTGATATTCCTCTTTTAGAATTCCTATAGTTTTCGGTTGTTATAATATTTATTAGTCTCCAATTATAACCTTGCATAACTTCTATATGAAGTCTCTCAATCGTCTTGGTAATGCCATTTCTTCTTGTAAATAGCTCCATAAAATGAATCTATACACTGATATGACTGGTCAGTAAACCATGCTCTGGACTCATGACTTAATTAAACTGCCTCTCTAACATCTAAAAGGGCCCTATTACTGTCAGTCAATACAGTGAACTACCACTTGAGTTTTGATCATCTTACCATGACCCTGCCCAGTGCACCCTCCCATTTAAGCTCTTACACATAGCCTGGCTACTAGCATTATCCGGCGCCACATCTGCTGCGGCAAAGTTATCGCCGCTGAATGCGCTCGTCTTAGTGCGGAGGAGCTCAGAGCTCACCGCCTTTGCAAGCCCTCTACGGCGGAAGGGCTCCTACTGGCTATAAGTCTCGTGCATACTGTCACTGGTATTGGTCTTAACATACCTCGCAGTGGACGCTACACAATGAGCCATCCACAGCTTATCTGGTCAGAACAAAGTGATTTCTACAGCAGATTTGCTCTACTTACCCAAGAACGCCCAAGCCACAGGCGTCCTGTCCTTCAGCTTGATAAACAGGCTTGGCAGTGTCAACAGCAGCTTCCTACATCCCCATCAGTAACGTAGATGATTTGACATTACGATTGCTTACACGCTACGTGGCATGCTTGTCCGAGCCTTTACCAATTCGCAGTCCCGAATCGTACCTGATCCCCAAACCATACCGGATGGTAGTCCAAGCTCGTGAGGCGGCGGCAGTTTGTCAATGCGGAAGATGAACTTGTCATACTCGTACGTGGGAGTCGGACCGAAGCGCAGCCCGCTGGCGAGGGCGACTTCGCGCACGGTGTTGTTGAGCGAGCCGATGAATATGTGATCAGGGTGCGCGAGAGGTTGGATAGGATAGACCCTCGCTTGGTGCCTGGCTTCGTTGAGGACAGCTATGATCTGCTGTCGGCAGAGGGCGTCTTCGTCGGGAGACAGAGTGGGAGAGGCCGGTATTGCTCCATGAGAGTCCTCGAAAGTCGAATAGATCCACATGTTGGTTTCGAGACCGAGAGAGGGGTCTAAGTAGGTTGCTGTGAAGTGCCGAATCGTGTTGCTGTCGCTTTGTTCTTGGAGAGGCACGTCTGATGCGACAATGATTCGCGCAGAGTCCGTCTTACCTGTAGGGAAGGCCGTGAACTGTAGACGACGGAGGAGGGTGATGGATTGGGGAAGCCTAGCCTCGAGCAGGCGAAGGAGATTTGCTGGGACGTCTGTAAAGACTTGGACATGGTGGCGGTCGGACGACATAATGGTGATTCTGATCGATAGATAGATAGATACGCCTTTTTTCTGGAAGTTAAGGTCTGTTACGAGACGTATAAATAGTGGTCTGAGGTCCTTGAAAACACTCTTCCGCCCTATCAACCATCTGCATATTGCCCAGTACATGAGTGCGGTCATCGATTAGTGGATAATAAGACTGGGGCATCTACTGACGCGCACGTCTCTTTGGTAGAATTGTAGATCAACCATGGAGTATCGGGTTAGCTTCATACATGTCCCACTAAAGCTGTATATTTTTCGACATAAGGGCGCACTAACTTATATCTTAGGTGAGGCTTGCTTTCCACTCTTACACTGTTCTTGTTGACTTTTATTGCTGTAATACTTAAATGCATAAGGCTGAGCCTGACGATATACTAAATGCATAACACTTAGCTATTAACAAGCCTTATTTATTAGTATATAAGATTTATATAGAGTGAGATATAATCTTTAAATATTAAATATTCTATTAATAATAAGTTATAATGTAAATACTTTAATATATATAAAATATTTTAAAAAGGTAAACTTATCTTCTTAATATTATAAATATCTTTACTATAAGCTTAAGTCCAAATAATAGTAAAAAATATCTTATCAGCAAGCTCTTGAATGCTTAAAAGCAAAAAATGTCTTCATGCCTGATCTCCACAGACACCCCATCATCCCCACGTGCCGCTGTAGATCCCGTATTCCAGAAGGATCATCTTAGCCTAGAAAACAAGAGCCGCCAAGCACGACCAGGCAAATCCTTCAACATCAATAATACTTTATCTCAAAACATCCTTCTACCAATGCAAGCTATCTATAAAAGCTGTTTACCAAAGTCAGCGGCTTTTCACGTTGCACAGAGCGTATTTGCGGTCAGCAGATCCCGTATTAAAGTTCCATCCGATCGGGCTGATTATTCCTCCGAGCGAACCCCCGGCTCCTGATCCTGATCCTTCAATTACAGCGGGAGCCCGTTCTACCGACAGCCCATTCGATTAGATCTCTGAACGTCCCTTGATTCTTGCAGAGGGTTGATCGTTCTGTTTGTCTCTGATCGAATCAGAAAATCCGAATTCCGAAGAATGCCGCCTCCCAACTGTCTCCTCCATGTCGAGGACACCTTTGGACCCGTCGTCAAGGGATGCGGGTCCAATTTTGACTTCACTCTGTTGTTTGAGGAGACGATTCTTTGTATTCTTCCTCTTTGTATCGCTATTTGCCTTGCTATCTTTCGTGTGACGCGACTTTGGAAGAAGCCGGTGATATTCAAGGGCTGTTTCATATTGCCGCTGAAGTTGGTATGTTCCGATTTCTTTCCGTTGTCCTCCCTTGCGCCAAGCAAAACTCATTGAGACTAATGTGATGGCGTCAAGATCGCATGGACTTTAGTACTTGGATCGCAAGCGAGCGTTGTCGCGCTTTTCTCGATTCGCGATGAAACACGAACGAGAGCCAGTATTGCCGCGGGGAGTATTGGCATAGTCGGCTCCGCGATACTAGCATGTCTGTCTTTCCTGGAGCATCAGCGCGCGGTACGCACCTCGTCCATCTTGGTTCTGTACCTCCTGTCGACTATCCCCATGGATGCCGCTCGCGCTAGAACCCTTTGGCGAATGCAAGATGGACGAGACCCTGCCATTGCTGTTATGGTGTTAGGAGCGACCAAGGTCTGCGCCCTGGTCACTGAGATGCTGTGGAAGTGTTCGTTGGCAAACAGGCATGAACTATGCGATGCACCGGAGGAGAGCAACGGTATCATTGAACGTGCGCTTATGCTGCGAATGATGCCGATCTTCTGGGCTGGATATCGTACACCATTGCAGACT